CGTAGCATCTATGGCCTTGTTTAATTCTGCAGTTAAATTTTATATCTCACTCCAACTAGAAACATCATGACATAGCAGGGTAAGTGACGGCCATCATGAAAGCACGTGCTTTCAAAGTTTAATATTTGTAGTCTTCTGCTTTTGTGTTTATTCAGCTATATATAGTCTAGCTAACGCAGATTATACTATGCCTCTTAACCAGTTCCCTATCAACTACATTATTTATTAAGTGACTTAAAAAAAGAATGAAGATTACGGATCCTTAAATTTCAAAGCCGACGATGTTTTAGTGCGTTCGATTCCCTGCGGAGTGCCATTTGGAACCGATTCTCATTAAATTTGGTACTGGAAATTTGTACTGACATTTGTCGATATATTCCAATTTTGTTTAAAATCTGACAAAATTAAACGGTCGCTTTACATGACCTGGGTGTTAATATCCGAGTTACTAGTTATTGCGGTTACCTTGATTAAAGATGGAGTTTAAAATTCTGGAGAACGCGGCTGAACTGTTACTCAGTGCGAAAGTGTCTTAATTTGTTTGAACTTCACAGGTGTTACACCGTCAAGTGATATAAGATTATGATTGAAAAACGAGTAAGTAAAAATCTGAAATAAAGTATCGTAACCTATTTAAGCGTTCGTCTCCAGAGATTAAGGGAAATCAGGAAAAAAAAAATCTCAGGACAGACGTGATTCAACCCGAACATATCCCAAATATGCCTACTAGTCTAAAGTGTCTCCGCTGTAGGAGTACACGGTAAAATCTACGACGGATTACAAAAGACGTTGCTAAGGGCAGATGTCTCCTGCTTTGTATTTAGTTACGAAATTGTGAAAACCACAGTCCCTCATGACAGCAGATTCCTCGGATGAAATTACGAAGCTGACACGACATCACAAAATGCAGACATGCTCTCCTACGGCGAGCCATGCCGTTAATTAAATGACAGCCCGTGATGTCAGGAATAGGATACCGAGACACATCATCCTCCAACATTCTGCCCACTACAACGCAATCCGATAATGTGCGACAGAAATTTCTTTCATCTTCTCCCTACATGGTAACATCCTGGACACTTCAAGGTACACTGGTGTGATTCAACCCTTCAACCCCCCCCCCCCCCCCCCTGTTTCAAAACTTAGTACCTGTTCAATTTTGTATTTATGGGTCATATATGATTCTCACCGTAAACAGTAATTATTTTCTCCAACAGCATTAATGAGTTGCTATTTGTAATGGTGAAGTGCTGTGTTTTCTTCGCGGTACGGACTGAATTATTTAGACTAGCTTCATCGTCAAAGGATTAAATATTATGACACAGGTTTATTCGGAGCATTACGTCTTCAGCATTTGGCTTCACAGAATGATGCAGCAAACAGAGATTCTGCAAGACCCCTATTGAAAACCCTTAGGCGTGTCTTTATCTACAAAAGAATACGTTAAAATTCGAACCTCGTCAAAGCTACCAACTACAACTCTTCCTTTCACGTCTTTAATCAAATTAATTAAGATATTTCCATCTCATTCGTGCTAAGTAACTTTGAATTTCAAATAGCACTGTTAAATAAGGAGGTAACGTTAAATTTAACTGAGTACTCTTTGTCTCTTTTAGCTTCAATTTAAATAGAAATTCGAGTTTAGCTGTAAACGCCCGTCACGTTAAACGGTTGATTCCTGATTTTTAACACGCTTGGAACATTAGATGGCAGTGACCTCTGTTAAGTTGAATCAAAAGTGTTATCTGGACAAAACAAAACCGTCAAGCACTCCACGTCACATTCAACAGTACCATGAACACTAGAGAAAGAACATTTTTATTCAACAAACGCGTCCTTCTCGAATATATTCGTTACAGAACACATGTTATTAAAACTTTAACGCCGGAGAGAGAGAGAGAGAGAGAGACCGTTATTAAAACTTTAACGCCGGAAAGAGAGAGAGAGAGAGACAGAGAGAGAGAGAGAAGGTTTATTGGGGATAAGGCGTTTGAAAATGCAGAAGGTAAAATTAACAATTTCGTTTCTTTATTAGTCTTGGACGCGATAAATATATAATATTTAATAATTCAGCCCGTACCGCAAAGAAAACATCACATTTCACTATAAAAATAATAAATGTGTAAACTTTCTTTAAGGAAATAATTCCCGTTTACGATGAAAACACATTAATAAAAATGCTACCTTATTGGTTGTTAAAGAAGGTCGGACAGGTAGTTACGTCTTTAATCGGAGATAAGAATTTGACGTGTTAAATATTCTACGACCTCTTCCATTTGGTATGAACAATGGTATTTGTTTTGCTGTGCGATTTTCAATATCTTTCTCTGAAACACGCACATTTGAAAGAAACTGTTATTTCAATGGGCTTTTTGTAACACTCCTAAGTTTCAATCCATGTTGAAACTTTGTACCATTGTATTCAGTAGCGCGCATTGTATAAATGTTGATATCAAATGATGAATTCTGATGTAAGGAGATTGGTTCTTATAAAAGGATAAAAGTCAATGTTTCCTTTCTCAAAAACCACATTTATTTCCTTTCAGATGGTCACAGGAGAACGACCTTTGTTTGGATTTAGAGTTTTCAACAGTACCAGGAATTCTCATTCGTCTACGCTGACGTGAAGTGAAATTCTAGTTTCACTCCGTTTCAATTCCTACATCTTTCAGTCTCTCTTTTTTTATATACTCAGTTCATTCAACTACTTGAATCGATTACGTTCCAAGTTCTGGGCCTCTGAACTACGTCTCAACTGCACCTAACCAACATACACTTAACTTAACTCATAAATAATTAACTGTATGACACGAAGTCCTTGAGAACTTAACAGTTACTTAACTAGTCAAGAAATTCACCTCATTTTATGGAAGCGAAAGGTTCATTAAAGCACAGATGGCTGTCTTCTGGTTCTACCCCTTCAAAAAAAGACAGAAAATGCCATATTATGTCTTCAACTAAAAGGGGCAATTAGATTAAAGATAAGTTTCGTGTTTACTGGTCGAAATTTTTTTTATTGCCAACGAGTCAGTCGTCTTAAAGTCGTTTCGATAATTTCCTCTGAAATCTTTCCTGTACCAAGACATCACGCATGCGGGTTTGTGCCTTCTGCCACTGCAGTTAAATATCCCTAATACATCTACTAAAGGCTTCCCCAAAGAGATGGATACAAGCATTCAATGGATAGAATAAAGACATTTAAATTAAACAAAGCATTACGAACTTCAATATTGGCACTTTGTAAATTAACGAATCTAGGTGTTCAAAAGACCACCGTTAACTTCGAGGAACAGTTGACAACTGACTGACAGGCGGTCAATAAACTTGCTGCTATGTATACATCTTTTTGGAGCACACTGTGTTTGTACTTCGCCCTCTAATGTATTCGTATCGAATCAAACTTCGTCCATTTTAATGAATTCCTTCCCCGTCTCTCTTTCATTTTACCACAAAATCTCGCATTCTACCTGCAAACAACGAGGAAAACAGGATGAGAAAGAGACTTACGAAGGATTAGTTGTAAGTAGCATAGCTTAGGCTGCCATTACCATATTCAACAGCGCGGTCTCAGAAACAAATTCTGCCTTCATTTACAAACTAAATAAGAAATGAATAAGACGCTTTACTTGAAACACTGATAATACAATAATACCGGCAGATAAAATGTACTGTTACATAAGCGGTAATGAAGAAATTATATCAGTGTTGTTTAAAAATCTTAGCATGTTTCTTAGAATAGATTCTCACTGATATGAACTGGAACATCAAGACATAAAATAATTTCAAAGTTCGACAGTGAAATCTTATATATATAGAACGTCCCAGAAATATATACACACAAAATTAATACTCCATATTATAATGAGTATACAGCTTTTTGAGACACTCTGTATTTATTAGTGGTGGGCGGTTGGGATCGAATCCGCGATCCCTCAAGTACATGTATATCTCCGTTTATATGTAAAATGTTTCTTCATTCAAAATAATTTTCATAATTGTAACACGAAAAATTCTTAAGATGGCTGACTTCTGGGTTGTTAAGCTGTGTAGTCTGGTACGTCGGTAAACTTCTACCAGAGTACATGACGCAACAACCCAGAAGACGGCCATCTTCAGACTCACAGCTATGAAAAACTCAAATCCTACGAAAAATTATTGCATATAAATATTTTTCCATTTCAATTTTGTGTTCAAATGTAGTAAAATTACAAGATTAAAATGGCGAATATATTCAACTATTCGTCAAGATCTGCTGCAATTAATTTCATACTATTTTTCTAAATTCCTGACAGCAAATTCCCCATACGATTTGTAAAGCATTGTGTTCAGATAATATTTCACTTCAACCAATTTCTATTATCTTACTTCATAGCTGTATTTTACAGGGTTGTGTATAGACGGACTTTAAAGTCCCTGTTATAAAACATGTCAAGATATAGGAAGTGCTGGGCTATGAAGCATGCATCTGATGAATTGTCTGTACACACGCGGGCTCCGTCTGTAAAGACGATATAAATCATCTTTCACAACTCAGTAAGATAATGTGTTTTAATTAATTGGGTAGCGAGCGAGCTGCGAGAGAACGAAGTAACAATACGCCGTGGAACATCTGGGATAAATTCCTGTGCTGCTCACTTCCTGCGTGAGGTTGCAATAAACTGAAAACTGAGTCTGGACCGAAATCTGCTTCGGGACTGATATAACTTGGCGGGCCTCGAACCCCAAAAAAAATACCTGGAATCTTGGGTAAAAATTTCTATTGCGGTCCTCTGGGTTGTGACGCAATGTTCCGGAATGATACATTGCCTACATTTTCAGGGTCAAATATTCTCCTTAGCATCCTGTATGATTTTATATAAGACAATTCCGGTCCAAAGTTCAAAAATTCAATTACATCTCCGAATAAAACCCACCCTCATATTCTTGTTAGACTTTAAGTTATATTTATAATATAAAATATAATTTTATTCCACTTACTATAACTTAAATTTGTCTCCTACCTTTTTCGCAAAAGATCCCTTCGAAGTCGACGTTTCGGCATTCACAGATAGGACCACTGTCAGTCGAAATGCATATGCCACCATGCTGGCAAGGGTCATGATCTTCGCAGGCGTCTGTTGTGTTGCCCCTGATACCCTGCAACACACAATTCTTCGCATTTAGTTCTCGTAAGAGGGCCAGCGTGCCAGCATGCACAGAGTTATTGTGCATGAGGCACGCCATTTAATCAATTTGCAAAAGAGTTTAAAAAAAAAAAATCGAACGGCGTACAGTGGCTTTTACACAATCGTAGCAAACCTGCTGTTTGAATTCTTTCGACCAACACACTTTATTTTTAAATGACGGCTTAAGTACACACTTTAAAACTCAGTGGGAAATATACGCGTTAACTAACAGTAACTGTGCATCTGTGTTTATGGGTTTTGTATGATTCTCAGTGTGAACAGAAATAATTTACTTAAACAGCGTTAACCTGTTGATTTTTGTAATAGTGAAGTCTAGTGTTTTCTTTGTGGTAAGGACTGAATTCTTAAATATATTTACACGAGCTTCGACTTAAAAGTATTAAAGTTAAAATGGTACTTATACTCCCAAAAAAAGTGATAAATTAATACAATGAATCAAACCATGGTCAAAAGCTTTAAATTTATAATACAAATGTGTTAATCGAGGATTTCGTGGTCGTGAGAAATATAATGCCCTGGGTTTGGTGACGTGTAAACTCGTGTGTCAGTCTTCAGTACTGAAGGCAGTAAGTTTCTCCGAAATGTTGACACCTACCGATGAATCAACATGTCATCAACACCCTGAAGAACATCACATTCGAATACAAGTGGTGTTCGAAATTTTAATCTAACCCGTAACCACGTAAATACTAATCCAGCACACTGCAGACCGCCATGTATATATGAAACAAGTCTTACATAACAGAGAACATACAACAGAATATTGTTACAATGAATCAAACATTGTCACGGGCCTTTACAGAATGAAAGGCATAATTAGACAGAGAGTGCTCATATGTGGAAGTGAGGCTGAGTGTACAGTTCGCTGATTACAGCCACAGGAAGGGCGTCGCTTCGTGTCCAGATAAGCCCTCCAGTTCAGAGGGTAATTTCGAAGTGTAAGCATTTACTAGCTCCGAGGGCGTGTTTCTGCTGATTACCACAGGTGACTAAACATGTCTGACAACAAATGTCATGAGAACATGGTCCCTAATTTTTCATGCGAGGAGAAGCTTGTAATTACTTCATTAAGCTATCGTATGTTCACACAATAGCAGATACCGCTCACATAATCTTTAAAATTGTACACGTCTAAGAATGCAGTGATTAATTTAAGTCAATTTAACGGTAATTTCCTCCAGAAATTGACGGAAGCTATCAGCAACAGAACTATCAGTGACCCTGATGATGAAAGCATCAAGTTCCTCTGGCCTTGTAATACTGGGATCTCGGGTTCGATTCCCGGCGGTGCTCGAATTTATAACTTGTGTTGGGCAAGGCCGTGGTCTAGGCAACACGGAGTTTTCCTCCGGGGGCTTCCCCGATTTCAATTACTCCATTCACACACAGAAGAAGGCAATGGCAAACCACTTCTGGATCATCTGCCAAGAACGTATATGAACAGGTCCCAGTCCGAGAAAAGGATAGAAGGATCCTGTTCATATGTACCTGTCCTCAGACAGAACACTAAATAAATAATAAAATCTATCAGACTACACTACGCTACATCCCAAAACATCGTCATACGCGTGTCTATCAGAACTTTAAATTTCACGTATTTGGAGAAAAAACCAATTAGTTTCCTTCTCACTCCCTGAAAAAAAAGGACAGCTTAAAAAAGTCACTGCCGGTTTCTAGCATAACCGTGCCAATTTATCATTCACATTCGCCTGTCATTTGCCATGTAAGTAATTTACGCGTATGCAATTAACTCTAACGTCTCCCTGACGTTAAGACGCTCTCTGCCACTAACCAGCACCAAAATTTCAGATGATTACTTTTGCTGTCACTTCCAGATTTTCAGATTTAACGACCCTGCCGTCATACGCTCGTGATTGTAACGTTGTGTTGATCCAAGCTAGTCAATAAACCCGTATTTAAAGTCTGCCCCCCAGTCATCAAATTCCATGAGAGCGCCACTGACACTCCTACCCCGCGGGACTGTTCGAACGTGTCGTCATTCAGGGTCTAGAACGCGCAATATAACTGCTCGTCTGGCTTCAAACGCTGCTGTTTATACTAAGGCGCACGTTTTTGCTAGCTTAAATGTCACTCGCTTATTCCAAGAAGCTGTCACCTAAGGGCAGTTATCAGACCGAACACGACGTGATTTGGAGATTGATTTTTACGCAAGCGTGTTGCATAATGAAAAACGGATGAGTACACAATGTCAGTAACGTATAATTCTGCCTCGTCTGTTTTATGATGCATTTATATACATTTCAAAATGCATTTGTCATACAATTCAAAGTATTGGTTCTGCCCTTCTCTGGTCTCGCAGTAAAAATAGTGTAATATTGAGGTTCTCAGAGCGAAAGATGGCTGCAGAAATCTTCTGATCGCCCTGATGATGGAGGCAGCAAGGACCTCTGAAACGTCGGTATATTTCGGTCTTTACGTTTCTGATAGGAGACAGAATACAAAAATTTGGAGTCAAACAACATCAAAAATCCCCAGAATTTTATCTGCATTTAACTTCGCGAATTCAATTTGATTTGTTGTCTTCGTCTCCAAAAATATTTAAATTTTGCTCTATTTGTAAAGGATCTATTAGCTGTATTTCACATATATTCCGTATATCAGGGTGGTGCCCTACATTCATTTTCGATACATTACATAAGCCTACTTAGTATTTCCTGGATTTATTTCTACAACACATTGCTCATATAGCGTAACAGAATTTTGTTTGGTTATATTTATGTTCTGTCCATCAGCATACACTCGCAGCTAATGTGTTCCGTCAATTTATTTACTTACTAAACAAATGCGTATACATGAGAACTCAAACGCATTGTTTGGTATTTCATTTCATTATCTGTAACAGAGATTTTTAAATTTACGCTCAAATAAGTGAAAGAATTTTATTTTAAAGTAAGTCCTACGTAATTTTAGTAATGAAGCAGAGGAAATGCGGGTGAATATATTTCTACGGCTGTGTGTTTATTTTTCCGCTGTCGAATCGTGTCAGTGTATTTCTGTGAAAAAGTTTCTGCTATTACTAAACTCGATTTGTGTACATTACGTTACAACTGGCTGGATTCTCTGACTTCATAGCTGGGCGTTCTGCCGTAGTCAATTTCCAAACAAGTGTAAACACATCCACAATAACCACACACAACACACACACATGTGAATCCAGCTTCTGCCCCTGTCCCAAATGGGAAGTTATTGAAGTTTGTCTGCATTGCCATGACCACAGTGTATGACGTAACAAACCATTTCGGTACCAGAACACCCCCTGTTTAGGTATCCACCGCAATGCATACAAAACCTCATCTACTCTTCCACAATTTTCCAATTAATTCGCAGTCATAACTTCGTAACGTTTTGGGAGACCATCACCCATACACGAAACGCATGTCAAAGAAAGATACGAAATCACACAAAAAGGTAAGAAGAATGCACGCCACGAAGGCACTTGGAGGGAGAGAATGGTCACACGGCCGCCCTTTGTACCCGGAAAAATACCCCGTTATCAATTGGATAGGAGGCTGGGTGAACCCCAGTCGCAAAGTTGCAATGTTGCAGTGCGAATTAAGTGTGAATTAGGATGCTTCAAAATCTTGAAACTTACATTTCTCGACGCCTATATCTTGGCTTGACCTTGGCCTGTCCGTTTTACACCAGTCATATTTACAAGTGTAATTTCGGAGCTTAGGACAATGGCTATGTTTTATGACCGCAGTGGTCTAGAGGCTGGCTAGTGTAATATATACGAACAATAGACTCCAGGCAAGAGATGCAAATAGGCTATAGTAACTAGGTCACCGGTGCAGGCTGCATAATTACTATAATCCGTCATTACAGGACTGACTGCCTTTTCATATTTTTATTTACTGTTTTATCCAACTAATCTAACAGCCTGAAACAGATCAAACAATCCATTATAATTCAAAGAAAAGATATTAATAAAGAAAACACAGCTAAACTCTTGTACCATAAATATTAAAAACACCTGAAAAGGAAGTAAGTATTCGATAAATCACCTATAGATAAATACAATATTGATTACGAAGTCAACTAGGCTACATCATGTCAATATTATTTTAATAAGACCAACACAAACATCTTTGCCACGACAAAAACTTAAAAACTTATAAAATAGCCCGTAAACTACTTAGTCATTCAATTCGGTGTTCAAGACTTTCAATTCATGGCACACATAAGCGACAGTTCGTCCAAGGAGGAACTCGAATCCGCTGTCTCAGAGTGTTTGGGACACGTGTGTCAGAACAGAACACACGGATACAGTTAAAGGGTAACATTAATTAGGTACAAAATCAACTGCTGAAACAAAAGGACCATATGTGTACTGGAAATCCAATATCCATGTCTGTTACGTTGACACCAACGCGAAGTTCCGTATTAAATCCATTCACCAGGGTTTTCCTGGAAAACTCAATTTACGTACTTTATTTAACTTGCATGAAATGAAATCAACATCTGGGAACACTCTGCACATAAAATACTCTTTACGAAGTAATAATTTTATAGGCAGAATTATTCATTTTGTTCAGTGTTAGAATATTTTATAGATGTGTCATGTCCCAGCTGAATTACATCCCATTTACTATTCCAAGTTTAATATTGATTATTTTTACATAGAAATGGAACTGTAATTGTATTTAAAACTTGAGACCCCGATATTTAAGAAATATTTTTTATTTCTATCATCAAAGCTTAATTTAAAAGTTCATGTTATTTGGGAGACGTAATGAAGTAGAATTATATGTAATTTATCAAGCAAGGGGGAAATGAGAAAAGAACACAGAATTTTACTAGGAACAATTGACGGTAACTTAAATAAAGATTTTGTATTTTGGCAGCTCTCGCGTGGCTGAGGAAAGAGTCCGGTGGCAGACTACTTTCGACTCGGCAATGGAATTTCCGTTCCCAGGAGTAGCTCGAACT